TTTGATGAAATCAAACAAAGTTAAATTTTGGACCCTTTGGACCTCAATGTGGACCAATTTAAAAACGGGGCCCAAAATCCAAAAACTTAATACACGGTTAGATTCAGCATATTAAAGAACCCCAAGAATTCAAGAATAAAACCCCATTGAAATTGATCAAGAAATAAGCAATTTATACAAAGTATCTTCTTTTGCACAATACTGTGCAATTGAATATTTCTTGCTATTGTGCAATACTGTACAATTGACAATTTCTTGCTATTGCGCAATTTGTGCTATTGGATATTTCTTGCTATTGCGCAATACTGTGCAATTGAAGATTTCTTGCTATTGCGCAATACTGTGCAATTGAAGATTTCTTGCAATTGTGCAATACTGTGCAATTGAAAATTTCTTGCTATTGCACAATACTTATTATATAATAATTTACACATCCTGTTTGGTGTGTATCTCCTACCATATCATTATTATTTGCTTTTAAATATTAATCAGAAATAACCAACTTAAAATGGAAAATTTAAAAAAAAAAAAAAAGGAAAAAAAGAAAAAAAAAGAAAACCCCCCCCCCCCCCCCCAAATTTTTTGAACCCCCTTATGATTCATCACCCCCAAACTCAATCCCAGCCTTCCCTTTGTGGTATGGTACCTTGCAGTACAATTTCAGAGAGATCCATACACTTGAACACAAGTTATTGTCTGGAAACTAGAAAAATGTGTTTTTTGGCCCCTTTTTGGCCCCCAATTCCTAAACGTTTTGGGCAATTACCCCCAAACTCAATTCCAGCTTTCCCTTTGTGATATGGAACCTTGTAGTACAATTTCAGAAATATCCAAACACTTACACACAAGTTATTGTCATGAAACTAGAAAAATGCTTGTTTTTGCCCCTTTTTTGGCCCCTAATTCCTAAAATTTTGAGGCAATTACCCCCAAAATCAATTACAGCCTTCCCTTTGTGATATGGAACCTTGTGGTACAATGTCAGAGAGATCCATACACTTACACACAAGTTATTGTCTGGAAGTTACAAAAATGCTTATTTTTGGCCCTTTTGGGCCCCTAATTCCTTAACTGTTGGTACCATAACCCCCAAAATCAATCCCCACCTTCCTTTCGTGGTATTGAACCTTATGGTAAAATTTCATGGAGATCCATTCACTTAAACTAAAGTTAGAGTGCGAAAACCAATGTGTCTTCGGACGACGCCGGACGACGCCAGACGACGACGACGACGACGACGACGACGACAACGACGACGACGACGACGACGACGACGCCAACGTCATACCAATATACGACCAAAAAATTTTCAATTTTTGCGGTCGTATAAAAATTATCAATACAAAACCATTTCTTTCAAAATAAGTTCTGCTATATTCATCTTTTGTAAAACACACACACACAAATAATTTGCCCTTCTTATGATGCATCTTATCATCTGTCAGAGTGGATATTTTTATTGTGGGAAGATTCTCCTCCGTCCATATTATTAAAAAAGGAGATAGCATGATGCTTTCTTGCACATTTTTAACACTATTATATATAACATTACAAACATTTCTTTTAAAGATAAAAATGCAAAAATAACCCATCCAACAATATTGCTTTAAAGGAGAAATAGAGATTTGTGTAAATAATAATGAGACAACACATAAACTTGAAAAGATTGTATATATGGCTCCTTTTCACATAAATACTATTTCTTACAGCATTTTCCCAACTTGTCTATATGTTAAAGCACCTTTAAATTATTCTTCCTGAAAGAGTACCATACTGACATTTCTGCTTGAAAGTTTTATTTGTAAAATTGCTAGTTTTATCAAACACTTCATTGTGATTATAACTGCTTTTCCCATATATCACTGCAAAGATATGTTCAATAAAATGCTCCGCTGGGGCGCAGCTTGATACGACCGCAGAGGTCGAACCCTGAACAGTTGGGGCAAGTATGGACACAACATTCAAGCTTGATACAGCACTGAATTTGGATTGTAATTAAATATTTGACACAGCATAGGTTTCTGACACAGAATGAATGTGGTCTAAGAACTTATAAATTATTAATTTACCTATTCAAACCTTATCATTATTATTTGCTTTTATATATAAATCAGAAATAACGAATTTAAAATGGAAAATTTTAAAGAAAAAAAAGGAAAAAAAAATCCCCCCCCCCCTTATGAATCATCACCCCCAAACTCAATCCCAGCCTTCCCTTTGTGGTATGGTACCTTGCAGTACAATTTCAGAGAGATCCATACACTTGAACACAAGTTATTGTCTGGAAACTAGAAAAATGCTTATATTTGGCCCCTTATTCCTAAACGTTTTGGGCAATTACTCCCAAACTCAATTCCAGCTTTCCCTTTGTGATATGGAACCTTGTAGTACAATTTCATAAAGATCCATACACTTGAACACAAGTTATTGTCATGAAACTAGAAAAATGCTTGTTTTTTGCCCCTTTTTGGCCCCTAATTCCTAACATTTGGAAGCAATTACCCTCAAAATCAATCCCAGCATTCCCTTTGTGATATGGAACCTTGTGGTACAATGTCAGAGAGATCCATACACTTACACACAAGTTATTGTCATGAAACTAGAAAAATGCTTGTATTTTGCCCCTTTTTTGGCCCCTAATTCCTAAAATTTTGAGGCAATTACCCCCAAAATCAATTACAGCCTTCCCTTTGTGATATGGAACCTTGTGGTACAATGTCAAGAGAGATCCATACACTAACACACAAGTAATGTCTGGAAGTTACAAAAATGCTTATTTTTGGCCCCTTTTTGGCCCCTAATTCCTTAACTGTTCGTACCATAACCCCCAAAATCAATCCCCACCTTCCTTTTGTGGTATTGAACCTTATGGTAAAATTTCATAGAGATCCATTCACTTAAACTAAAGTTAGATGTGTCTTCGGACGACGACGACGACGCCAACGTCATACCAATATACGACCTCAAAATTTTTTTGTGGTCGTATAAAAACAAGAGACTTCTGTTTAAAAGTTCATGATGGCTTCCATAGAATCCTGTCACCCAGGGGAACTCACCCCTCCAGGTTTCATTATTGAAGGTAAATTAAATAGTATTTATGTTTAGCACATATGTAAGTAATGCTCAAAAAAGTATTTATCCCAGTAATAAACAAAAACATCTAGACCTGGAAAAAATAAGAAAGTATAGACAAATTTTCTTCTACTCCTGTATATCCTTTAAAGAAGACTCAATAAAACTTCTTAAGATTTTAAAACTGAGAAATAAGGAATATAAAATCTTGCTACCAAAATAACAACTTAATAGAATTGGGAATACACAGGTCTCACATGCTATGCAGCAAAATCATTAACATTAATTTGATAAAAGTCATACAATTGTATTAATGTTGGAGTGTATATCCCTTCCAAAGCTTAACTGATCTTAACAATGTACTTACTTCAAACGGAGTGGAGCATGACTAGAAACCTTGGCCTAACAAAATAATATAGTCCAAATCTATCACAATTAACGAAAAATATATTCCAGCATTAGAACAATGAAAAGTTTTTAAAGCAGGACTTATTTTTAGAACTGCTTAGAACTTCAAACTGAGAGGAAGGAAAGATTCTACAACATTATGTTAAATAATATAATTAAGTAAAAGAATTCTTAAAAATATGTATAAAAAAATTAAGAAAGGGTTCCGGAAAAAACCTGTGTCTTGCATGTTAATGCTGAAGTCAGAGTAAAAATGTAATGTTGATTGCCAAAAACAAAGTCCATTTATCAGTAAAATATGGATGGGTGGGATTGAATTTTTATCTTCAGATGCTTTTACTTGATCTGGAATCAGCTTCTGTCAAGGATTCATAAAATTCTTTGAAGATTAACAAAGTTATCAATGTCTAACAATCCAATCCCAAGTAGTATGTAAATGTTAACAGAAAAAAAAAAATGTTCACTGCATACTGTCCTTTCATCATTCATTGACATTTGACAAAGTTATTGGTCTAAAAAACTTCAACCCTAGATAACTGCAAAAAAAACAAGTGATGAGACTGTATGCTAAATATCAATGACATATCATATGAACTTATTCTGAAATGGACCTATTCAGAAAACTCAACAACTAGTGTCGACAATTATGCCAGAGAAGTAATATCTATGTCTTACTTCATGCCATGTCAAAAGGAAGACAAAATACAAAAAAGTGTTCCTTAATATTAAATAGGACAGAATATCAAAATGTCTATTCAATTGCAGTGAAAATTTCCAGACTTAATAACTTCACCCGCACCAGGAGCACAAAATGCCACTGCATATTGAATTTGTCGCATGAATGTAATGGAATATCATAGAAGGTATTCAGCAAAGATCAGTGAATAAGGCTCTGAGAAAAACTTACAGGAAGAGATTGTGCTTTGTCCGAAATTATATCAGCCCATGCAGGTTTTTTTCTCTAAATTCATTTAAATATCTTATAAATGTGACTTCCGGATTTCAAATATATCATTGATTTTTAAAGTAGGGTTTAAAACTTTTACAAATTGTTTGCAATAATTTCATATTCATATATTCTGGTAAAACATGGTGAACAGCCATATTGAATTTCATGTGCAATTGTTAAAAGCTTTGATATTGACTTATTCTGTAATTTACTTCTAACATGTTAAAAAGTGTTTATTTGAGTAGATTAGGAAAATTGTCATAAAATATTGCATCTTTAAACTCTAAAAATATCCATAAACTAGCTTTTAAAATTGAACTTGTCATTACCTGCTACAAGAACAAATATTCTTCATTCATTATGACAAGAAATATTTATCACAGGAAAAATGCCTTGTCCTATTGTCAACAAGAAAATATTTGTCAAACTACATGTATTAAATGCAATTATGACATTAGTTCCAAGTAAAATTCAGTTGTAATATTCATGGTCTGCTTAATAGAAGAAAATTGATAAAAACAACCACTAAATGATATAAAAACACATCCAGTGTAAAAACTGAACAAAAATATAGACTAAAATATTTATTGGACATCAAATACTACAAAATTCATTTTACAACTGACAAGAACATCAGCATACATATAATCTATATGCAGTTAATTTCAGAAGAATCATATTATATACAAGATTAACTTAGTTTTAACAGGCCTGATTTCTTTCTAACGTTGTTGATGTCTGACAAAAACTACTTATTTTGTGAATAATTAATGTGATGTAAATAATAATTGATTCTTGAGAATTCATTTTAATTTCAGTGTATACCTGCATGTATAACAAAATTTAAAATTCTTTACATAACTAATATAACCAGCTGCCAAATTTTCAAATACCTCAAGTCATTTATTAACATGACTGTAAGGGGATTGGAGAGAAAAGGACTTAATTTGCTTTTCAATTCTAATGGCTCCAAATTTGTTTCATACTTTCATTCAAAATACACTGTAAAACAGAGAAAAGTCTGCATTATGTTTATCATGGCAAAATATTTATTAAATGAAATAACTAAATGTATTAAACAATACCCAGAAATGTCTTTTTTCAGCATAACAATACCATGGTAACAAAAATGTCATGATTGTAGTACATCAATTAGGCAATCAAATAATAAAATGACAAAAATTCAATTAATTGCGATTCATCTTCTGTTATCTGTGATAAGATTTTCTCCATGTCTTTATTGATTCTCAAAAATATCCTGTGAGCAGTTTATTTTACAGATGAATATTAGGGTATGTCTTTTACAAAAATGTTTTATTTCAAAATAATGATCACCAAATTCTACACCTAAACCAAGGTCAATTATTGTCCCATAGGGTTGATTGCTAGTAAAATTACTGATGTACAATAAAATATGTACATTCACCATCTATTGGCCATTCACATCCCCTTCACTCTGGACTACGACAACTTCCTGTTTGTAAAAAGAAATAGTTCAACAAAAATTAACAATAAAAACAGTAAAATATACAATTATCATCTCTAAAAAATTTCATTTCAAAAGACACAAAATAATACTATAATAGTATTTATTCCTATGTCATGCTGAAATTATTAAAAATTCCTCACAAAAAAAATAATCTGAATCTCTGAAAAAATAAGGATTCATGACCGAGGATCAATATCTTTAGATATTTCCATGAACCATTCAACAGCTGAATACTAATCATTTAAAAGAGTAAATAATTTTATAAGAAGTAAAATTTTATTTACATACTTTATATTATTTGAAATTAATGCACACAAATTTCCTATGAAAAATTACTGAAAAAGATCAACAAAAATGATCTTTATTCATAACAGCTTTAATATTAATAATTATAATCTGTGAATGGCACAATGATACCTAATGTCACTCCTTTTAAAAATAAAAATGCTATTAAAATTCCTGATCTGTAGGACATTAGACATTTTGCACAAGTTTTTTTTACCATATCTAAAGTGTAAGTTGTCAGACATTAATTGTACAGATATAATGGAGTTGTGCATAAAAATGATGATATGATCGAAAATGTGCAACATGAAAAAAAAAACTATTGATGCAATGAAATATATTAGTAATGATGCCTTAATACACTTCCCCTTAAAGTATGCAGATATTTCTGATGTTTTTTTCTAACCATCAGAAAAAAAAATAAACATCACCTTTCAGTAAGGATTCTTTTTTCTGAGGTCAAACAATTCTATTACTTGTTGCCTCAGAATATGTTTAATGCTATGAAAAATCAAGAAATCCATCAAATCAAAAAATTGTGGATATTCCCCTAATCCTACAGTAAAAGGTTGATGTTTGACACTAGAAAAATCTTTAAAAATAGCCATCATTGAAAAAAAACAAAAAATGACAATTCATGACAATGTCTACTATTTAACTCCAGTAAGTGCCACAATACCATATAACAGGCTAAAATATATGGCACCATAGCAAGCTAACTCGTAAGTCAAAAAAAAGTTTAGTTTTTATGAATAGGCAGGAAGACTATATCTTAATAGGTGGTAGCATTACAGTCAAGAATTGAGAATCTTGATAACCATTTGCTGGGTTTTCAGTTAATTAGTAATGTACTCTACACACTTGACTACAGTAAAATCTGTCGTGGGAGGCTAATTTTATTATCAGAAAAAATCTAGTATCTTCATATTTATGCTAGATTTTTAACCCCTGCCCATATAAGCTAGAGTGCCAATCATTTTAAACAGCCATCAATTTCTGTCCATTAATGCATAAATATCAACTGTTAAAAACAGGGATTTTTTCCAGTTTTCTATGAATGCCTTCCATGAAAGGTTTTACTGTACTCTATTTATTTATCTCACCCAATATACCAGTATGTATCATTCAAGTTCAATTACCTCAACCACTTCTTCTACTGTTGCAACATCTCCCTGGCCTTGTCCTTCCTGTCATTGAAAAAAAAATATAAATATTTGAAGGTAAAGAAATTGCATTCAACATGTTCAAAACAAAAACATATAAAAATTTTGAACTTGGCTAATAAGTTATTGCTTAATTCATATTTTAACTGATTCTGACAATTAGTGTTGCTTCAATGATGTCCAAGGCCCAATTCTTAGAAAATCTAATGAATCAGAGCTTTGCATAAGGGGAATATATTCTTAGTTTTAAATGATTTCCAATCTTTTATAACAGCAAATTTCAATCAAAATCTGTATTTGGCATTAATTTTTAAAGGTTCACAATTCAAGGATCCGGAAATTTTTTCACACAATTTCTGTCATTTTAAGATGATTGAAAAGTTGATTCCCCTTTTATTATTGATGTCAAACTAGATTCATAGGCTATAACATCAACAAACTTGCTCAATGCTGTTTCATCGCATTTACTACAAGTAAATTTCTTACCAATTTTCTAAAAACCTTCAAGAACAGTTTAGTGAATGCAACAGTTTAAAATAGAAATGATTTTAATGACTCAAAATGGTTAATTTCTCAGACATTGTTACCTTCTTTCGATTTGACAAAATTAAAACCAGAAGTTTTTCGATAATATATAAAGTACGGAAAATTCCGGATTCATTTCCGGGATATGTTTTGTTTATCAAATTGACAGGAAATCACCGGCTTTTTAATTTTATTACCTTTAAAAGTGTTTAAATATAACAGATAAAAGTTGCACTCGTTTACTTTAGCATGAAATCAATTTGCATTTTACAATTAAATATTTAATTTGCTGAAGACAAGTTCCACATGCGTATTACACAGTAAACAAGAAATGATTGTAACAGGATGCTGTTACGAAGTCTCCCAAACGAAGCTCCCATAATTCGTAATTCCCAGGATCGCCTGACATTGGGCAAAGTCCAGTAAAAATTGGTTTGGTCCAGTAAAGTTATATGCATAAGTGATGCCTGGGGACTAACCCTGTATATCATTCAAATCATCTTGGCATGACAAACCAGAATATATATGGTTTAGGGGTGGGGATCTCGACCATTTACAAGATACTAGAACATTGGGGGTAGGGGGAACCCCTGGGGACTGACCCTATACGTCATTCAAATGTTCAAGACATGACGAACAGGAATATATATGGTTTAGGGGTGGGGATCTCGACCATTTACAAGATATTAGAACTTTCTCAAATGGTAGGGGGCCGGGAAGACCCCTGGGGACTAACCCTGTATATCATTCAAACCATCTTAGCATGACAAACCAGAATATATATGGTTTAGGGGTGGGGATCTTGACCACTTACAAGATATTAGAACTTTCTTAAATGGCAGGGGGTGGGGGTGACCCCTGGGGACTAACCCTGTATTTCATTTGATGTGCTTTATCATGACAAACCAGAATATATATGGTTTAGGGGTGGGGATCTCGACCATTTACAAGATATTAGAACTTTCTCAAATAGCAGGGGGTCGGGATGACCCCTGGGGACTAACCCTGTATATCATTCAAACCATCTTAGCATGACAAACCAGAATATATATGGTTTAGGGGTGGGGATCTTGACCATTTACAAGATATTAGAACTTTCTTAAATGGCAGGGGGTGGGGGTGACCCCTGGGGACTAACCCTGTATTTCATTTGATGTGCTTTATCATGACAAACCAGAATATATATGGTTTAGGGGTGGGGATCTCGACCATTTACAAGATATTAGAACTTTCTTAAATGGCAGGGGGTGGGGGTGACCCCTGGGGACTAATCCTGTATTTCATATAATGTGCTTTATCATTTAGAACATTTTCAATTAAAAAGATTGTGTCTATCACAAACAGTTTTCAATTTATAATCATTTGAAAATTTTAAAAAAATAAAATCCCATAGGGTTCTATAGTAAAACCCTCCTTTCTGTTTGCCCCTCAAAGTACCCCTTTATAAACCCCATTGCACAAACAAAACCCTGATTGCACCACTAGACATGTTAGTCTAACATTTTGTGAAACCCGAAGTTAATCTGACAAGCGGTTTTGGAGAACGGGTGCGGACAAGTTCAAATTTAAAAGCGGCGGAAGAGGAAGAGGAAGAGGAAGAAGAATAATAATAATAATAAGAACTGAGCAAAAACAATAAGTCTTCCCAAACTTCGTTTGGGAGACTTAACAAGTACATGTGTTACTCGTGAAAAAATACTTTTTCTACATAAATTAAATAAAGGTTTAATTTTTAAATCAGAATAGATGATTGTCTTCGCTGAAAAGTAATAAAATAATTAATACACTTGTCAGGGAATTTTAATTTCTTTAAGATATCATTCTGAGCTTGTGATCAAAGTCAGGTGTGAATTAAAAACACAGGTAAAAAGTAATTAGCGATCATTAGCCAATGTTTCCTGGGGGCATTGATATAGTTATTAGGAGGGCCCTCAGGATTATCAAACTATACTGGAGTGGCAGTTTTATTACAGGAAAGGGATTATAAACAAAAACAAGTGATCAAAAGTGCAAAATGGCGATTAAGAAATCCAATTTCAAACATTGAGTCAATGAAATGACCGAAATTATTTCTGTTAAAAATTAAATTTGTCCTAAATCCCAATTACTCATTTAGGACAAATACCTTTCAGTTTAGGACAAGACTGGCAAATATGACCGTTTCCGGACCCTTGGTTCACATCATATTGACCATGTGTACCAGAATTCATGTAAACATCCTTCATACAAACTTTAACCTAACATGGGATGGATGAACAGATGGACATATAAACACAAACAAAATAAATAATAAAACACCTCTACTACTGAAGTGATAGGGCTCATATTTGTTTGAATGATTAATCATGTTACGAAATAGACCATATTAAGAAGTAATTTTGACCCTTAAATTATTGGAAAAAGGGCATAAACTTTATATGCATTTGTATATTTCTCTGTTTTGTAAAGGTAAATCCTTTGTACATATACCTCATACTTGATGAGAGGCTATTTCAATCACACAACTTATACATAACATAAACATTTGATTCATTATTATAATGATTATCAAACAGTTTTTGCAAATTACCCTAAGCGCTTTACAACATAATCTTATCTCTCAGATACATGTTATAATAATAAAACAAGAATGCTCAGGATAAAAATTTTATATATGAACTAGATCACTAATAACTTTTATAAAAAAGTTGATTGATTGATTGTTGGTTGCTTAATTATCAGTGGAAAAAAAAGATGAAAAAGAAACGCTAAAATTTAAAAATTTTGATTCTAAATATTTTGCATATAAACATGATAAAATTTCTAGTAATAAATTTACTGAAAAATATGTTAGAAATGGGCATGGTTAAATTAATAACAATAAAGTTGTACAAAAAAAAGTAGTTAGAAATTCTAAACTATTCAATAAAAGTCATAGGAAAAGGGTATCTGGTGATTGTAATGTTAAGGAAATTATTAAATCAAAACACTAAACTAAGTCTTCAGCACATTTTTTTTTCCAAATTTATTATGAACCCATAATGTAAAATCACCAAAATACATTTCATTCTGACAGCAATTGTTGAACAAAAAAGCTGCTAATTAATTTGAAGGTTTTGGTGCCAAAGTTTACTGATCATGACCTTGATAAACAATCAACAGTGTTGTGGTGAGCACATGTATAATGATGATCATGATAATAGAGCCATATTCATTTGGATTTTTTATGTTTTCCATGCTTCAGATAATCCCATTTGTTAACTAAACTTTGTCTTAACAGACATAAAATGATCTGGTGTATTTAACTTTTTCTTTCACAATTCGATAATTTTATATCTTCCTTCCCACGTTCACAGAGTTTATGTTACGTAGTTCACTTGGCAAATTATTCAACAAAACGACAGCTGTTTTGACACATACTAAAGTTTGTATTGGCATGGATAAGTTACAGTCAGACAATAAAGGGACTTGAGGATTGCTGTGATGTGATTGTTCTTCTTCCTTCTTATAATGAGCCTGGCTGGTGTGTTTTGGACTTGCTGTTATCTCTAAACGTTGGTTTATGAGAGTCCATAGTGCAATGCTTTCCAATAGTCCAAAGTAGTTCACGAGAGAGCATACAAACATCTTGCAGGCATCTTTTAGGTAATGAATAGACAAATTTGCTCAATGTCTCTGATATGATTGAAACAGGATTTCAAAATAGCACCTACTTGCTTGATCACAGTTTTATCAAAATGAATGCCTAAGATTTAAACACATTTACAATAAATTACAAGTTTGATCTAATTATGCAGTCTCAATACTCAATTACATTAATAGTTACCTGTTAAATATATTAACAGTAAATAATGATAACAGTATCGATCAATGTGCAATCAAATCAAAGATATTTACACAAAAGGGTATTGAGGGGTATAAAATTAGCAAGGTGCAAACCCATGAAGTAGTGAACAAACACTAGTAAGTTTTGTTCATTTGGATTTCCACATAAACAAGGATCTAATTCAAGGTAATCAATCAGTCAGCAAGAATTTAAATTGTATCCCTTGCTCACTGACGTCAACATGCAAGATTGGCCAGAAACCCTAGCTACTCTAAGAATATATAAACATGTTTAAAATGTCATATATGTTGTACAAATACAATAACAGCTGAAACTGAGTTTTAAAACAAAGAGGCTCTCAAGAGTCCCGAATCGCTCACCTGTAATTTTTTGCTTAAATCTTTCATCAATGATTATTTTTGCTTTTCAATATACATTAATGAGTGGCTTAAAAATGCCATTTAAATGTTCTCTGTATCTGTCATATTTTCTTCAAAAGCAAAAAAATGCATTTTACCCCTATGTTCCATTTTAGCCATAGTGGCTATGTTTCTTGACGTACAAGGAATTCAAATACAAAATTTATACTAGATACTCTGAAACTCATTGAGCCCAAGTTTGGCTGAAATTGATTCAGCAGTTTCAAAGGAGAAGATTTTTTAAAGTAAGCAAACTAGATGAACAAATTGTGAAAAATTGTCTTTAAAGGGCAATAACTCCTTAAGGGGTCAATTGACAATTTTGGTCATATAAATTTATTTGTAGATCTTACTTTGCTGAACATTTTTGCTGTTTACAGTTTATCTTTATCTATAATAATATTCAAATTAATAACAAAAAACTGCAAAATTTCTTTAAAATTACCAATTTAGTGGCAGCAACCCATCAATGGGTTGTTAGATTCATCTGAAAATTTCAGGGCTGATAGAACTTGACCTAATGAACATTTTCACCCCCAAGTCAGATTTGCTCTTAATGCTTTAGTTTTTGAGATATAAGCCAAAAACTGCATTTTACCCCTATGTTCTATTTTTAGCCATGGCAGCCATGTTTTTTGACGAAACAGAAAATAAAACACAAACTTTATTCTAGATACCCTAAGGATCATTCAGCTTAAGTTTAGTTGGAATTGGTTCAGTAGTTTCAGAGGAAAAGATGTTTGAAATAGATTTCACTGGACGGGCGAACGACAACGGACAAGCATGTCGGACGCCAAGTGATGACAAAAGCTCACATTTCCTGTGGAAAGGTGAGCTAAAAAGACTAAGATATCAATATTAATACACCATCAAGTAAACAAAATTTCCATAAAATTTTGCAGTACCCTCATCAGCCTTGTATAGTTCGCACTGGTACATTGTCCGCACCCCCTTTTCGCCACGAAAATTCCGGTAAAAAACTTTTTGTAACTGTTTGCAAACGTCTATTGAAACTCCAGTAATTTTAAATCGTGTGTGATCGTTTGCTGTTTGACCGTTTTCCATCATCAAATAGAAATTGAAAATGCATGTAAATGATTCTAGAACATTTCACGAGTGTGAAAAATAAGTCAAAATCACAAAATAAAATAAATTGCTTCGCTGAGCGCAGCTTGATATGACCGCAGATGTCCAACCCTGAAAAGTTGGGGCCAAAATGGACACACTATTCGAGCTTGATACAGGTCTGAATTTGGATTGTTATTAAATATTTGACACATAATAGGTTTCTGACACAGAATAAGTGTAGTCAAAGAACTTAAAATTGGTTATATGATTTGAATTTATATTCAATTTTTTGCTTTTGTGCAATACACTATGCTGTTGCGAATTGCCCCCCCTCCTCCCAATAAAATTTACCCGTTTTTTTTTCTTCTGTGCAATACACTATGCTGTTGAATATTAACCCCCCTCCCAAAAAAAATATTTGAAGAAATTTTCTTTTAAATTTCTGAAATCTGAAATGAGAAAAATTGTATCCCCCCTATTTTTTTCAACTCTCCCTTTCCCTTATTCCAAAAATAATGTCAATTCAAATTTTTAATGGAGTTTGCAACCATAACTACTCATTTAAATAATGACATACAGTCATGGTTAAAATTAATATTAATTAATAGTACTTCTAAAAATTAATTTACAGCTAATCATCTCAAGACAATCATCATTTCTTTATACATAATTTACAAGCAGTGTAAGGGAGGTAATCAAACATATATACAACAGTATTCTTTAAATGGATTGGATTACCTCCCTTTCACTGCTTTTAAATTGTCTAAATTGTCCTTTAACCATAAAAACCCTTGTTTTCCCCCTTTTTTGCCCCTAATTGCAAATGGTTTGAGCCATAACCCCCCATAACCATCCCTTTGTTGTATGGAAACTTGTGGTATAATTTCAGAGAGATTCATACACTTAAACACAAGTTATTGTCTGGAAACTGCAAAAATGCTTATTTGGGCCCCTTTTTTGGTCCCTAATTCCTAAACCTTTGGGACCATAACCCACAAAATCAATCCCAACCTTCCTTTTGTGGTTATAAACCTTGTGTTAAAATTTTATTGATTTCTATTTACTTATACTAAAAGTTATTATCCGGAAACCATCTGTCTTCAAACGACGCTGACTACAACGACGACGACAACATGATACCAATATACGACCAAAAAATTTTTAATTTTTGCAGTCGTATAAAAACAATTGAGAAAATTAGGTATGATTAAACTGGAAGTTCGTATAGCATGTGTAAAAAAAATATAAATACGGTGAGAGTGTCTGGAAAATCTTCACGTAATAGATATCACTAGAATAGGACTTTGAAAGTAATGATGTTTAACATATCTATCACATTAATGTTTGAAGGATCTTAAGCTAAAACAAAACACATGCGTCAGTATGAAACTCCAAAACGAAACGAATAACCGATTACGTTTTGTAGTTTATACATCGTTATGCATAAGCTAGTTCCCAGCTGACTTATACACTTTTTTCGTTCCGTTAAATTCAAGCAGATCCCAGTTTATTTCATGCAATGTAGTGAAAAAAAGCGAGACATTTGAAGTGAAGCATTTAATTTTGAAATTTATCAGTTTATATTTGATACTGAATAAAAATTGCATATAAATATGGATTAGGTAAATTATTTGTTTTGAAAATGAGAAGAGCGCCCTCTACAATTTCAATAACAAACATATTGGAACGTAAACAAACCTCTCGAAATCGAATTTTTCTCTTATTTCTGGCTTGTCTTTCTCTCTAGTTCGCACCCCTGTCTGGTAGGTTCAATTTTGGAGAATAAAACTGCGGACTATACAAGCCTGAATTCGGTATATTAGATATTTTTTAAATGTTTAATGAGTGCATTCACAGTACAGTACTTATAATTTAAGGGCGGAATTTGATAAGATGATATAAAATAAGAATATATTCTTAAATATGAAGTAGGAATACAAACCGTTCTATATATTGACATTTTATGCTCTTCGTGACAATGCTGTACTAAAGCCCATGCACTTGAAAATTCTGCATTACATGTACCACACTGAAGGGTTGTTGGATCTGTTGATTCTGAATTATAAATCATGAAAACATGTATAATACATTTCTTTGCCCTATACACTTTATATAATACCCCTCGACTGTGTTCTTTGTGGCACAGGTGTATTGTGATCCACATGTGACAAAGAATTCCATTTAATCATTGCTAGTGGTCATCTAGATCTTGCAGTCAGGAGTAAACTTTTGCTGCATGTTCATATAAACAGTCAGGGATATAACTCTTTAGGGTTATTACAGAAAAATAACATGCATTTGTTATTATGGACTAAAAAGTCAAAGAACTGTGATAACATATGTATGTTACATGTTTCAAAGGGACAATATACATCATAAGTTTAGTTAAAATGTGTACAAATTCTATTGATATTACTATTTTCTTTATGTATACTTAACTATAGAAAGATATAACAGTTCATAGTTTGTCAATTTTGCATAGTACACCTATGTTATTACAAAAAAATTTGCCTGTAATAACTAAAGGGTGTTATCACAGCTTCTCTATATCACTCCTAAGCATTTGCTCAGACATACATCATGCTTAATTACAATGTATTTTAATTTATTGTAAGAAATAATGACCAGATCATGTAATGAGGTTCTGCGCAAGCTTCCCAGTAATTCCCAAGTGTCTCATATATTAAGTTAAATTCCTTTAATAACTAAGCCTTGTTATTACAGCTAAGATTATCCCTTAAAAGCCTCGTCTCATTAATTAACCATGGTTAATAAAAAATGTAATTAATTTAATTAAAGAATTAGTTATCAAGGCTATGCATTTAGTTTCTGCGCAAAGTCTCAAGAGTTCCCTAGAGCCCACTATAAATTGATTTATTTTACAAATAACAAACATATGTTATTACAGATTTAGAAAATTTAAGGAATAAAGAGTAGACAACTCATGAAAGTATCTATAATAACACACGCAAGTTATTTTTTGTAATAACCCTATAGAGTTATATCTCTGACTGATAAAGGCCTCACTAAGATTTTGAGATAAAGAAAATAAAGAAAAGCGCTGTTCCTTTGCCTTTGGTTTTGCAATGTTTTTTCAAGTACAAGAAGAGATTTTAAACTCCATATCCTGCCTTTATCCATATTTACATATGTAAGTCATGTTAGTCTTAAATTCTTTAAAAATTTAAAACCTACAAACAAATAGACAATAGCATCTCCTTGATTTAGGAGATCTACAACCTGTTGATTCCTAAACGTTTATATGTAATAAAACAATAGAGTATGAAATTCAAGCTGACCTATTACTTATAATAACTGGACAAATCAAGTGATAGAAAACATTTACAGTTTTGTATGCCACCATTAATCCATGAAAATGAAGTGAAGGACAATGGAATATGACAGATGAAAATTTCCGACAATAAGCCATAAGGCATCTGCATATAAGATATGGAGATATTTTATTCCACCTTCTTAAATATAAAGCTTTATACAAAAAGTTATTACTGAACACATTCTATGACAATGTTGAGGTTATTGAATTACCCACAAAGTCTTAAAATGTAAGTGTGCAAGTCTACTGAAAATAGTGAAATGTGCAGATCAATCCAATTGCCAAAATTGAAGTTTACTGAAAATTGAAGAAAAACAACTCTGGCATCAACTTTTTCATCAAATTTCTTTCGTAGTACTGTATTGAACTCTACATGATAATTTGATAAAAAATAAAAAACCTGGGTAATTAATTAAATTTGAGGATCATAAAAGTTTATAAAACTTACCAGTATCTGGAACAGGGGTGTTCTGGCATTTACAGGAAAACCTTAATTTACACGGAACTTTCTTATGCTGTGCCAAACTGTGCAAACTCATAAAACTTGTCTTGCAATTTCCACAAATCAGAACATCTTTAGTAGCAACTAAAAACAAATTGTACAGTTTTATATCTCAGCTTTAACAGTTGAGTTTTCAATCACCCATTATTTAACTGTTCTGGAAGCTTATGAAGTAACAAGTTTTCATGTGCAATTAAATCAACTCTCAAGTCTACCAAAATCAAAGACATAATGAGTTACTGTTAATCAACTTTGTAACCTACATATAACACAGACATGAGTATTCACATACTGTTAATTTAACTCCCTAGTCTACATAAAATGGATACATGTATAATCATATACTGGTATGATTGTGTTTTTATCTCTTTACCTATTGAGGTAACCAAGGTTGGTTTTTTTTGCTCTTTAGCTTTTCTTTTTGCCGAGATAACCTCAGTTGGTGTTTTTTTCCTTTCTTTCATCTCTACAAAGCTCTTCTTCTGTTGAAGTTAATAATCGTGGTTGGTATGATTCTTTTTTAATCTCCTTACCTTTTCTTAATGCTGAGTTAGCTGTGATAGGTGTGATAGTCTTTTTTGTCTCTGTGATTGCTGCATTTCCTGTAAGGTCTACTAAGGTACGTTTTATTGTGGGTATAGAATCTTGTCTAATTTTCTTCATAGCTGGAGGTCCAACAGATATTCCTGGGCCTCCCATTTTCACTGTCTGTAAGGCTATTGCAGGTCTGTAAAATTAAATGTATATTAACGATTTGTTTCAAATTACTCCTGTAAAATTTAGATTTTCTTTATGAACATTTTTGAAATAATCTTCATAACCTACACTCAAGACTAAATGATTGGGCAGCCTTGACCAGTCAGGGATATAACTCTATAGGGTTATTACAGAAAATAACTTGCATGTGTTATTACAGATACTTTCATGAGTTGTCTACTCTTTAGGTTGCATTTCTGTAAATATTGACAATGCAATTTCCCATAGGAACTCCTTTTATGGCTAAAACTGTACCACTTTTACTATGAAGTTTTGAAAAAAATCATATCCTAGAATGGAAAGTTCATATGCACTACAATTTTTTCAAAGGTCAACATATAGGGCTGTGCGGCATATTTTCAACGTTTATATGCCCCGAACTTATAGGTTGCACTTTGTAAATACAGCTGTTTCTCAAACCACACCTCTTTTGGGGAGATATTTAATATTCATAGGTATGTTAATTTGTTAACGTACTGGTTCCCATTGATGATCTCTGTGTTTCATCTCATAGAGACATCACTTGGGAATGTAACCAGTATTGAAAAACATGGTAGCGGCTAAATTTTAATTCTTAGGAGGTCCAAAAATGGAGGTAAGGGTAGTATAGAATTTTAGTATAAGTTTAAACTCTTAGAAGTTCAGGGCATATAAATGTTGAAAATATGCCACACAGCCCTATATTTTGACCTTTGAATAAAATAGTAGTGCATATAAACTTTCCGTTCTGGGATATTATTTTTCACGAAACTTCATAGTTAAAGTGTCACAATTTTAGCCGCAAAGGGAGTTCCTATGGGAAATTGCATTGTCAGTATTTACAGAATTGCAACCTCTAAGAGTTTAAACTAACACTAAATTTCTTAACTATCGCTACCTTGACTGTAGGATTACCACAGTTTTCTATATAGACAATATGCATATGTATATTTACTGGTAACATTCCCAAGTTATGTCTCTATGAGATGAAACCTAGACATCATAACTGGGAACCAGTATGTAAACAAAATTAATTATCTATGAATATTCTATATCTCCCCAAAAGAGGCGTGGTTTGAGAAACAGCTGTATTTACAAAGTGCAACCTTTAATCCTTAAATTTTCTAAATCTGTAATAACATATGTTTGTTATTTGTAAAATAAATCATAAATAATTTGATTTTTAGTAGGCTCTAGGGAACTCTTGAAACTTTGCGCAGAAACTAAATGTATAGCCTTGATAATTAATTTTTTAATTAAATTAATACATTTTTCATTAACCATGGTAAATCAATGAGACAAGGCTTTTAAGGTATAAACTTAGCTGTAATAACAAGGCTTAGTTATTAAAGGCATTTAACTTGTTATATAAGACACTTGGGAATTACCACTGGCAGACCTATTTGGAAAATCACCGCGATTTTTGTAAAAACTCCGGTGTTTTTTGGCTAATCTCCGCGAAACGGATAAAAATTAGAGGTTCATCGTAAATTTGCTGTATTACAGGATATTTTGCATGTTATCCGGAGATTTTCCGTGTCGGCGGGAATTAGCCGTTTGTCCGATAAAACTGGTGTGTATTGAGTCATTGATAGAATCACTGATGCGTGAGCGACGGTTATTAATAGGTCGTTGTATAATCCGTTATGCGTGAGCGACGGTTATTAATAGATCCTTGTAGTGTGGTACAAATTATGATATATAGATGTTTACAGAATTAAAAAACAAAGTAACTATAATCATTTGAGATATAAGGAATTTTCAAAAATATATCATATAATGTTTCTGTAAATTTAGAGAGAAACAGATTATATATATCTGGAGATTAGATGGTTACTTTTTTTAATTATATGTCAGAGGCCGCAGATCATTTAATTGCTTCTAGAACCGTTTATTGAAACAAAAATAAAATGAACGGCCAGGGGAAAGTCTTTAGTAACCTAAGTTGGTATCAGGGGTCAACTGGGTTGAGTTCCATATCGTAGCAGCTACGTAGCGGCTATGTAGTTGCTATCAATATCTATGTAGCAGCTAATCTATAGCTACACGTTCAATAGTAAAAATCTACATAGCACTACGTAGCCGGTACGATATTGAACGCAACCCTGGTAATACATAGAGTCAGACCGTCGTTGCATAATATGTATATGTATTTACACACAATGCAGTGCATTCAAACTCGATTTCGCAAACTCGTGGGTTGTCTTTTTAGACAAAAAAAGTTCAATTTAAAAGATATGAAAGTTGCGTACATGTATACAAGGAATTGTATATTTAACGTCAATGCCTGTCTTGTAAACTAATCTGTTACACTTTGAAATGTAAATACGTTCTATTTAAAAGATTGGACGGTTATTTCACATGAATAAAAGTTCTTCTGATCATTTTTGTTTTACAATGATTTTTGAAAGTGCGATCTTAAAACTAAGTTTGTCCGGACTTGCATGGAATATTTGGCACTGGAAGTTAAGCAACCAACAATCAATCATCTTAAAATAAAATAAATATGCCTGAGCGATAATATTCTTAATTTTTTTAATGTGAAACACAGTTTCTTCATTTATTAGAAATCACTTTCAGGTCTAATGGTAAAGTGAATATACATTCCGGGATGAGATTAATTTACTATAATTGCCAAAGAAAAAGAAATGATATTACGTTTCTTTTAATTAAAAATTAGACTGCAACAAATGTAGATCGAACATTTTTAATAATGAAATAATGCACGTCAAAAATTTCGCTCACAATAGAGATGTTAAAAATAGATTTTATCAATTCTGTCACTGCACGAGATTTTCCAACGGCGGGAAATATCATGTAGCCATAAACACAGGCGATGTTACTGACCGATTGTGGAATGTCAATTTAGGGTTAAATTTGATGTGTAATGATTGACATTATTGTGGGCGTTAGGTTGAGGCTCTAGAAGGTTCATTTCAATTGATAACCAAAATTACAAAATCAAGTTCTTTTTTCAAATCAACGTTTAAGTGTAAAATTTTGTGGGAGGGAAACTTTATTTTGTTTGTTTTTTAGGGGCACAGGGAGTTACCATAAAAATCTATAGGAACATTGAATAAAACAATTTCGAAGGCCACAACTTGTAAACTAATGAAAACAATGATAAACAATCGGAATTCCAGAATTCCCCATACCGTTTATTTCGAGAAAAAAATGTTTGGTGCATGGCAGTGGGGAATAACGTTGTGTTCCGAATTATTTCCGACTCAGAACAAACCCCTAACCCTTTGAAATTAAATGTTGCTCCTATATACCTTACTATCGTGAATTTTCAATGTTTCATGTATATTTCAGGTCAGATCCCAGGGCATACTTTGTGTTCAAAATTATAAAAACGTAGAAAATTCATGATTCATGTACGTGTAATATGTCTCAAGAAAATGGATTGAAGGCATATTAATTGTCAAATTATTTATTTGTACAAAAAAAAACACATAGGCAATGAAAACCGTGTGTGCGCCAAGAAAGGTCAATACGTATGACTCAACTCGGAGGCTGATTTAGGAGCAGGCTGTCCAGATCCCTCCTTATGGAACTACATATGGTTAATTTTGACTTTTATTTACTTGTTTCACTTACCCGAATAATTCAGTCGTTATATTCCGCTGATCTACGATTATTTCATTAACAAGTATATAGAAGAGATCGATTACGGAGAGAGACTGAATTTTTCGGGGTTAGTTCCACTCCGACCTTTTTTTAGTTTATACAATAAAGCAAGTCTATTTAATCCATTTCTCCGCTGTTTTCGTTATATATAGCACTTTCGTCATACTTAGGTTAGGTTTCAAAGAGTGGATCATTAATATGAACATGTCGGGGTCTTTTAGAGCTGACAATGCGGTATGGGCTTTGCTCATTGTTGAAAGCCGTACGGCGACCTATAGTTGTTAATTTCTGTGTCATTTTTGGTCTCTTGTGGAGAGTTGTCTCATTGCCAATCATACCACATCTTTTTTTATATATAATAACAATATCACAATTACAAATACTAATTCTCCTTACGTCATCCGAGAATACACGCGTCTTTTCTTTAGGATAAAGCGCGAGTAGATGGTCAGATATATATATATGGAATTTTGAAAGGACCTTGACTGGCTACACAGCCCTTGCACGATCTGATCGATGGTCAGAAAGATGACCGGACATGTTCTAAGTGCACACAAATGGTCACATGTCATGAATATCCATGAACGTACAACGAACTAAATTTTATATATACGAATCCTTGCTGTACCACAGGTGTCCTTGTGTAATGAAATTTTAGGGTATTGGTGCATAGTCAAGTGATTAGATAAACTTGGATAATCAATGAGAGAATGAATGACCATTTTAAGTTAATCCAGGGACTTTCTATTGATTGTTGTTTGCTTTACGCTGCATTAGCACAAACATGCTATATCGCGGCGAGAGCTTATATTTTTACAATTTAAAGGTCCTTCAATAAACTAAAATTCTAGACTAAAGGGACTTTCTATACTAACGGGATAAGATAAGATAAAACTTTTTTTTATTAAATAATGAAAGCTTTTTCTGATAAAGGGAGTGTCGGGCATAGTTTTAACTCTAAATGAAACTGTTCTTTAATTCATAAATAATAAAACATAAAATTAAAGGCATTTTAGACCCTTCCTACAAACGGAAAAGATGAGCATGAAAAATAAGTGAAAGGGGGGTGGGCATAAGTGACTGGTTACGAATTAATTTTAATAGTAGTTCACCGTACAAGAAGTTTTAAGGTACTGATGGAATAGTGTGACAGAAGCGGATTTAGAGGGGGCCAGGTACCCCTTTTCTTGAAAAAAAATTTGGTTGATTATACATGTATTGAGAATCACTGAAGCATGACTGAAGCGACCCCCTCTTAGGCAGTCAGTGCATATGAATATTTCTGGATCCGCCACTGGTGTGCTAGCTTATAAATGATATATTTTTTACTTCCTTTATTTTTTTTAATCCTTACTCCGTCTT